GATTTGGGAGGAATGGGAAGTGAATGTGATCGGAGTGCACTGTGTAGAAATCCCAAATAATCAATAGAGATATTATATTGGGGAAAAAACAAAAAGGAAAGAAAAATAAATGTAAAGCATTCCTTAGTTAAGTTTCTTGTCTTAGGCAGTATTAAGATATTTGATTGGACAGTCTTCACTGTGGGGGTCTTTCTTTGGCACTGGAGGAGTCTTGTTGGTACCCTTCGTCTCTACTCACTGGATTTCAGCAGCACCCCTCCCTCATGATAGCCAAAAACATCTGCAGGTATTGCCAAAGACTGCTGGGCCACAGAATCATCCCTAGTTGACAGGAAATGCCTTAAATGCACACAGTCTGTGCAAACCAAAAGAATTTCTAAAAATGTCTGTTTTCACAGAAAAAGATAAACTACTGACCCGTGGTCACAATTGAGAAAAACTGTTAATGACCAACATGAATTCTAATTTAGTTTCCGCCAAGTGCATTCTTCTGAGTTTCAGTTGTAGTTAAGTGCTAGGGCTCTTGCTTCCCTTCCCTAGTTTCTGGGTTCAACTCCTGACACTACATTCTGTTCCTTTCCTACTCGTTTGTTTATTTTTATGTAAGATTACATTGACTTTACACATGGTGACAGGGAGTTTGACCTCCCCCGACCCTAGACATGTGTATTGTTTTAATATTATCAGGGATCTAGCTGGGCGGTGGTGGTACATGCCTTTACAGTACTTTGGAGGCAGAGGCAGGCAGATCTTTGTGAGTTTGAGGCCAGCCTGGTCTACAAGAGCTAGTTCCAGGACAGGTACCAAAGCTACAGAGAAACCTAGTCTTGACAAAATAAAAACAACAACAACAATAAAAAATAATATCAGGGGACCAATATCAATTAGTCAGTATTCTAAATGGTAATCTATTGTTCAAAATTTTAAATATAAATTAAATTTCTTAACCAAAGACTTTTTCTATGTACTCAAATGATCAATAGCCATTGCTTTAACATGAATGTAAAAGCAAGTCATATGTGTGTGCACACCCACACCATGTACACACAGAGGCAATTGTGCAATAACTCTTTGTTACTTTGTAATATATCAGTTTTCTGGTTCTGCTTCAATTAGTGATGGTTAGAGCCAACATCAACAAAAAAAAAATAGAGAGAGAGAGAGAGAACCTAAAGTTTTGTTGTTTTTTTGTTTGTTTGTTTGGTTGGTTGGTTGGTTTTTTTTTTTTTTTTTTTTTTTTTTTTTGGTGTGTGTGTGTAAATCCAGGTAATATCTAGGGGTTCATTCTAAGAATAACCTAAACAAGATAGAGCAGATCACAGAAGTTCAGACTCACTAAATCCCTAGTTGGCCCTAAGTGCTTTTACAAGGCTGATTAATGGGAAAATTGCCCCTACTGTCCTCCAGAGCCACATGATAATTGCTGGGTCAGGGAACATGTCCTTCTTTAAATTTTAAAAAATATTTCCCTAAATAAAGCATGGCTGAATTTCCAGGACTTAAAATTTGTTCACAAACAACAGAAATTTGTTGTTTTAAGAGGTTAGGAAGTCGGGGCAATAAAGGCATCTTCTCACTTGGGGTACACAACAGGGAAAGCAACAGACTGAAACATATGGAACTATTTTGTATGTGTGTGTATGTTTATATTGACAAATAATCTTAGCTGTTCAAGTTCATCTGTTTCATTAGTTGGTCCTCACTTCCTTTTGTATTTATTTAATTGTTCATCAATGCTCATGACAAGTTAATTATTCTGTTTCTTGTGCTATAAGGGTACTTGTCATCTATCCAATTATTCTTCTGTTATGTGCTAGGGTCAGCTTGGTGAGTCACTGTAACCTTCTAACCTTTGTGGTGTATGTGTCTATGGGAGACAGAGAGACAGAGACAGACAGAGACGGGGAGAGAGAGATTACGGTTTAACCATCTTTTCTGGGAGAATGTCTAGAAAAATTTTTAGCACTTCATTTCTTTTGTGTCCTTACAGTTGGATTATCACCGTTTTTAATTCCTTCTGTCCTTTCTCATGTGTTTATTCTTATATACAAGGTTTTGTTTTACATTTTTGGTTAATGTTATGGTTCAACATCTCCATTATCCACGAGCCTCATATCTTGCTTAAGTTAAACTGGACAAAGCAAGCGATTCAGTGGTTTAGGATTGTATTGATAAAGCAATTGAATTCACTGATTATTCCACATTGCTTTGGTATTATCTATATATTTCACCAATGGAACCATCTTTGAGGCAGCATAATTATTAAATTATGAGTTATTTTCTGGCTCCCTTGATCCAAACTGAGTAATAAAATGAAAAAAGTGACCCAAAAAAGTCATTAATTTCATTTGCTATTGGGTATTATTAAAATACACTTTTCTTAGAGAGGATCCCCATCCACCCGGGTTAAAGCTATAATAATACAGACTTTCTGACTGAGGAGTGGAGGCCCACTTATCAAGAGATAAAGCTGTAATGGCAGTGGCTTTCCAACTCAAGGAAAAGGCACAAACACAGAACTATGGGAAGACTTTGGTTGAAAGGCAGAGGAAATGATAAATAGATTTTGGAAAAATACTAGTGGCCTAGTCCTAAAACACGCTTTTTTTCTGTGACAGTGAATGGCACATGCTTTGAATTACATGTTGATTTTGCCTTAGTTCCTCAATAGCAAGTTCTTAAAGGGGGGCCCTTGGACCATCAAAATTATTAAACATACTAGGTCAAAATTCATCTTCCCTGGTCCTGCTTCAAGTTTTATGAGGCTGACTCCGAAGTCCACATAAGGGAATCTCCTTCAGAAAGGGCCATAATGGGTTTTAATGTGTAATGATTACTGAGCTACAAAAAAAAAAAAAAAAAAAAAAAAGCAATGGTGGTCACTCAGGGAAAATCCCCTCTCCAATATCCTTAGCAAAACAAGAAGAAAAGAAATTTCAAAGCAAATACATCACAAAGCTGTGGTTATTAAAGTTGAAGACTCTTTTTGCCACAAGGATAGGGCACAATAATCATTTTTTTCTCGAGCTAGAATGATGAAGGCAATATAAATCAAACTCAATCCATCATGTTTCATTTCTTCTAATTTCTTCGCAGATATCCATCATTATATAGTCCCTTACCATTGACATCAAACTCCATTGTAATCCCAAATACACACTGTTCACTCTGATTCTTTCTCTAGTGTGTTCTTTTGACACTCTAAAAGAAAATAAATAAATTGGAACAGTGGGCCATCAAGACCGCAAGATGCCAACAGTACCAAGACATTAAAGAGAGAAATGGCCCATGCTAAAACCTATAACTCAGCATGCAAATTGGCAAAAACATTTATCTGCCACAGAGTCACCAGGGGGAAAATAATTCCCTTCATTTTTCCTTGGAAAATTGTTATGTCAAGTAGAGATGACAAAGAATTCATCCTATAAGTTAACAGAAAATGTCTTATTAATTCTAGCAAAGACCAAACATAAGGCCAACATGACTCAAATTGTGTGACAGTGTACCCAGTGGCAGAAACACCAAGACTCAGTTCTTCTGGGTTAGTCTACTCTACTCTACACCAAATTGGAAGATTGGCAGCAAAAAGGATAAAAAGTTAAGAGTCAAAATTTGACTTCCTTTGTAGGAACTGTACTGGAGCAATTTTTCAAAATGTTGTTTCTGCCATTTCTTTCCCTCTTAGAAGAATGCTATGTTTAGGGGGAAAAAGATATTCAGACGGTTCGAGAGTCTGGAGAAGAAAACATAGTCCCAAATCATAAGCAGGGGTGGCTAAGAGAGTGAATAATAAACAGACACCTGCCATCTGTGGGAGAGGATGCTTCTGAATCAAACAAGGCCAACGGATGCATGGAAAGTTCCATGTGGTCCCTGTTTTAATCAAGCGTTGCTCCAAAATGAGTCAGCTGGAATAGGCATTTCACAATGGGGCATGTTTATCAGTGCTCCCCTCCTCCCTTCTAGAAACTCAGCATTCCAGCAGGGGAAGCTGTGCTTATGTACAAAGGGATACATCACAGCATAGTTTGGAAGCCACTTCAAAAGATCACTCATAACTATACATCACTGCATTTCTGAATATTTCTGAACATTTCTGAACATGTGGTGGTGACCTACGCCTTTAATCTCAGCACTCAGGAGGCAGAGGCAGGTGGATCTCTGTGAGTTTGAGGCCAACCTGGTCTACAAGAGCTAGTTCCAGGAGAGGCTCCAAAGCTACAGAGAAACCCCGTCTCAAAAAAACTAAAAAAAAAAAAAAGCCACTATAAATTATGTAACATTTCTGTTTTCCTTTCCCTCTACTATTTGGATATTATTCCCTTCTTAATCCCTTCTTAATAGTAGGTAGGAGGACTTTATAAATATGTCCCTGACTTCAGGAGACTCATGCCAATTTAGGAAATGATCTCCCCAAATTATTTGGATTTAGCCTTATAGGATTTCAGAGAAGGCAGCCCAAACTATATCTCTATACATGTCAAGTAGCATTCATTTGACCATCCAGTAATATTCATTTCTTGATAGCAACAACGTACAGCTCCTGTCAGAATCCACATTCAAGAACTGAACTTTCCACACATTGCTCTGTCCATAACTGTATTGAGGGCTCTGAAGCCGGGGATAGCAGAGTGCTTAATCTCGCGGCTCACTTAGCCAGAGATGATTTCCAGTGTGCTGAAGACTGCAAAGAGCACACTGAATATCTCCTCGCCAAAGGGAACCTAAGACTTTATGTTCTTGGTGCCTCCTCAAAGTCTGCTACTGACTGGGGCTGGATTTATGAACATGTCCATACCCTCACAAGTGGATGTCAGGCTTTTTCGTCTTTTCTGTTTAAACATTTTACCATGGGGCAGGTGTCACATTACAGATAGCCCCAAATGAAAGTGATATGTTGTTGGTTTTCAACAGATCTTTATTACAAAGCTTATTCACTGTGGATACAAACAGTACCCATAAAAAAAAAAAAATGCCTTAATAGCATAGCCTGCAGTTGCTCTAAGACTGTGGGTAAAGCATTTCATTTCTTATCTGAAGACTGTAGCAGTATCTGTGGGTTGATGGGCAGCTCAGTTCTTGAGTGCCTCTCTTTCATGATACCATTATGATTAGTGCTGAAATTTAAGGAAATGGACTTTGGCCAGTTTATTCAAATCTCAGATTCTCTGACAGTCCTTTCAGTGAGTCAATGGTCATCTAGTCAGCCATTCACATCCAGATTCTTCTGACCCATTAAGACCCATAATGCTTCCCAGTATCTTCCATAGTTACTATGGTGGTCTTTTTGATTTACCACCAAGAGACAGAGAGAGAATGAAGATGCATTAGTAGGGTTCACACACAAAGCTATCTATCAACTATCTGATAAAATATTAATACACAGAAGAATACTTTCATAAATGATAATTTTTTCTGGCAATTCAGCACCCCAAGGAAACTTTCTTTTTCACTCAAATTAAATTTTAAACTTTATCTGAAGCATCAGGACAAGAAAACATGGCCTTATCCTATTACCCACCTGTGTAGTCAAGAATTACAAAAAAATTCAGAAAAGCAACCATATACCAACAGACATCAATAAATCAATGAGGAAATGTTCAAATAATAAATGTACCTAACTAAAAGTTTCCTTAAAAACAAAGAAACTGGTCGTTAGATGTTTTTTCTCCCATAGACACTGTCTGGTTGTCTTTATTACTTGTGCTAACTACACACCCATGTGCATGCACGTGCACGAGCACACACACACACACACCAAAAAATTCGGAATGCTTGGCACATTATAGTGACAAATCATTTTTCAATTACCACTAAGATGCGTGATGAATGCTGAAAACTAAAGGTTGTCTTTGGACATTCATTTAGCACAAGTGAACAAAAGAACTATTAGAAGATTAATAGAAGACAAGAGGCATGTGGGTAGACATTGTTAACAATTTCTTTTGCACTGTATCTATACAGGTCAGGAATATATTTTTTAAAAAAGCTTAAAAAATCAAATTCATAACTTTTGTGTTCCAGTCACCCATGTGGGTCATTACAGACTTTACAGAAATGGTACAACTAAACCATAGTATGGCTACAGCCAGACCCCAGGATTCCAAAGGCAACCAAGCCTGTCTACAAGCAAGCAACAATGTACAGGGGTAGTTTAAAGTTCGTATGAGAAATTAAGAAGCATGTGGGGGTACAAATCCTCTAAAGCAAGCAAACAGAAGGCTGGATGCATCTTCAATTACTAGGTGTTGTTCCTAGCTTCGCAACTCGTAGGAATGCAAAGAACTTGCCTGAACAAAAGGCCTCATCAATAATATGTGGGCAAGTCAGAACTCCGAGTCAGGTGGAGAATGGGGATCGTCAAATAAGAACGGAGAAGGCTGAGTGCAGGGCATCTCAAAGCTATGTTTGTGGACGTGACTATCTGCTTGTTAGTTAAACACACACGGTGTTCCACTAGCTCATCCCACTGTCTCCTAATGTAGAGAAAGTGCACAGCAGTGCGAGGGAGCCAGAGGGTATGTATTTCAAAATAAGAAAGAGAATTTATTGATGATTGGGAGGGGGCTATTCAGCGTTAGAAAGTGTTGCGAAGGGAGGCTGGAAAATCTGCCCGGGAGGGTGTTAATGAAGAGGCAGAGGCTCCTTTGTCTGAATGCTCTTGTGGGGGCAGCTGGAAGCAGGATGTCAGTCCTTGGCTGTCCAGGCCCTGGGTCGTGTGCATCCATTGTGCGTATATACAGACATAGATTGTGCTTGTGGTGCACAGGTGCTCATGCATACAGAGTCAATAGAAACTGGCACGTAGAGATCTAAGCGAAAAAAAAAAATCACACGAATCCACCATTCTCCCTTCACCCCATAAACAAAAGCGAAGAAAAAAATAATAAAAATCTTGACTCTTTCGCCATCCTTGGCCAAAGGAAGGAGGCAGAATATGAGAGGGAAACAAACATAAAAATCTGGTTTGGGATGGATGAGCCCCAAAGCCTGTGAGCTACTCAGATACAGCTTTCACTGTAGGGAAGATTCCCAGCACATGGGATCAAGTTAATACAAGACAAAGGACAACACAGGAGCTCCCTTCTGGTTCCACATCTGAAAAGGAATCTACCCTGTGGATTTACACATTAAGGTGAGCTAGTTAAAGTAGGCAGTAGTATATCAATGGACTGTTGTGTTCTAACAAATGTGGATCGTTAGTTGATATTTTTCCTTTAACGTACGTGCTCCTTTGGGGAGGTTTATTTCAAAGTGGCAACTACCCCCAGCCCTCCCCTATAGATGATACTTCCGTAAAAGTTCAGACTGCCAAGGATGTTTTCTCTCAGGGAAGCGATCTGGAATTTTTATCTTCAGGAAATCCTGGATGCACTTCTCCAGCTCCTCTTCGATGGAGAGCTTTTCCTTCGCAGCTTTCTTTTTGCTGCTTATGTTCGACTCCCGGGAGCCTGACGTCAGAGTCCTGAGCAGGTCACTTTTCCGCCTCATCTCCGACTGCTGGATCAGCTGCACGGGGCCCTTCTTAATTGGCCTGTCCAGGGTCTGGATGTTGCTCTGGCGCGTTACAGGACCGCAGATCACCGTCTCCTGGGGAGAGCTGGCCTCTGACTGGCTGTCGCAGCTGGAAGTGGAGAGGTCATTGCAGGAGGTGCCGCTCTCCCCTTTGTCTCCCTTGCCATTCTTGCAGCAGCAATCACAATGAGAGGAGGACCACCTGGAAGGCTCACCTGGAAGGGAAACACAGATCCACAAATGAGTGCCGGCAACTCAGGGTGACTCAGAAAACGAACACATTAGTGCTCAGAGAGAATACAGGTATCAACACAATACAATACAATAGCAGCATCCAGAAACTAAGTCATCAAAGGGACATCCATTACTAATAGAAGACTGTGAATTCACTATAATATGGGATCATGCTGAAGCGCACCAACACTGCACTCAAGAGCCCTAGGTAGAAATATCCAGGTATTTATCAGTCCCGGTACCTGACAGATCCAAATTTTTAAGGCTTCAGTTCTACCAGCTGTAACCCCAAGATAATAATTTTCTTAGTAGCTGCAGTCTTAGGGGTGGCTTAGATGAGACAAGCAGAATGGAGGAGGTGGCATACAGTAATCTCAGAAAACGTGTGCCAATTTTACCATGGGTAGCATTGAACCCTCAGCTAAAGCTTCACCTGTTGCCATCAGGATCCAGTAAGAGGCTATCCATATAAAGGGAAATGCATCGGCCAGTGAAGAGGGCTCTGGCCAGCCCCAGCATCTCATTGGGTTTCCATCATCCTAGGAGCACAAGAGCTCCACTTAACAGTTACACACGTTGGAAACACTAAGACCCAGAGAGCATAACAGATGTGCCATGATTTGAATAGCTAATGGAAGAGCTGGGATTTGAATACCGATGTCCCAAGTGTTACAATCAAGCCAATTAACTGCTTCCTAAAACAACTCGCCTGTCTGTAAAATTATTGCTTCTCAGACTACTGTTCAAGTGTGGATTTCTCTGACGTCCCTGCACATCTCTCCTAAAATTGCTTGCCTCCTCACAGGTACGACTGTAGTTGTAAGTCTTGTCCCAGCAGCTTCTAAAACACTATCTTCCCAACATAGACATGGTGAAGAGTTCATTGTTGTAGGTCTAAGCAATCACCCAGGGTATAGCAAAGAAACTCAATAATACAAAGCATCTTAGTAAAGGACTTCAAAGTAGCTGGATCAAGCCGTGCCTGAAGCTAGTCTTGTCAGTAGACATGTTAAAAGATCCATAAATTTTATTCTTAGTTTAAGCCAATATGTGAGCGTCTGTCTCTATCCCCTGAGTGCTGACTCTTAAAAGTAAATTCAACAGCTTGGAGGCAGAGCAGTTCTTCAGATACACAGTTGGTGGCTCCATGAACTTTGAAGAACCCCCAATCATGGCACAAAAGAACTTTCTCAAATATAAGTTATAGTCGCTAGCCTTCCAGTTTCTGAGTAGCCCCAAGGCTCCGGGAGTCATTCTATGAACTGATTATTAATTACAGGCTGGGTGCTGTGGAATACTACTTTAACTAGGCAAAGATGTGTGACATTTGGTTATACTGCAGAATATTACTTAAACTGTGTAAAGGTGTGTTATAATTATCCATACTGCATTTGTTTAAGGATAAAAGGATGTGTGTTTAATTATGTAAAGATGTGTTGGATCTCTTTCACCTTGCCTGCCTAAGGCACCTAATTGATCTAATAAAGAGTTGAACAGCCACTAGTTAGGCAGAGAGAGGGACAGATGGCGCCTGCAGGCGGAGAGACGAAATAAGAGGAAGAATCAAGGCTCGAGACGCAGGAGAAGGAGAGAAGGGAAAAGAAAGAAGAGAATGAGGGGGAAAGAGAGGGACATGCCCAGGGCAAGAAGCTAGGCAACCACCAACTAGCCAGCCAGAGAAGCAGTGAAGGTAAGATATACAGAAGGAAAGAAAAGTAATATACCCCAAGGCAAAGTAGATAAAGAGAAATGGGTTAATTTAAGTTAAAAGAACCACCCAGAAATGAGCCTATGCTAAACCAAGCATTTATAACAAATAAGAAGTCTCTGTGTCGTGATTTGGGAGCAGGTTGATGGTCCAAATGAGAAAGCGGGTACAGCTGGGCATTTCAATTCACCAACTTCACCGATGCCATAAAAATAGGAAGGAAGACCAATATCCTTATTATTATATATAATAAATTATATATTATTAGTATAATAGAAAGGTAATGAAATATTTTCTATAATTTTTTTAAATTCAGTTTTTTTTTAATTTATTTATTCGTTCTGTATACAGTGTTCTGTCTGCATATATACACCTGCAAATCAGAAGAGGTGACTGTGAGTCACCATGTGGTTGCTGGGAATTAAACTCGGGTCCTCTGGAAGAGCAGCCAGTGCTCTTAACTTCTGAGGCATCTCCCAGCCCCTTAAATTCAGTTTTGATTTTATTATGACTTATTCTAATAAGCATTATCAAAAAATCTCATTCATTGCCATTTCTAATATGGACAAATACATGAACCTATTTAAAAAGTCACCCCTTGACTTCCTATGTCATGTCTATATTTCACATGTATAAATGATTTTCACACATGACAAGTAGTCATGTTTTTTCTAGGGGAAGTAAAAATATTTTTCTCTAAATCACAGCCCCAGAATACCTAACTTTTCCACACTCATCCAGTCACTTTCTAACATATGACTGAGTAATCATTGTGCTTGTATAGCTATTAAATTAAATGCAGCAATCCAATTAGCTAAAAGGAATCATAATAGCAGCAATGCCATAGCCATTCTCAGTTATTACAAATAAATACCTTCTGCGCGACAGCGAAACTGCTTGTGCTTAGAAATACTTGCAATGCCAAGGGCTTTCGGTCTGCCAGGGGACTGAGGACAAGGGTTCTCAGGTCTAGTCGGCAGAAGCTGCCTCAGCTGCTGGACACTGGAGTCATTCTTTACCAGTACAACTCACAGTGGGGTGATTCCGTTGAATTGGACTAACTAAAAGTAATAACTTCAGAGCAGAGTTTATCTTACCTGGTTCACTGGAGAATGTTTAGAAATTAAATTTAGCATTGAGAAAAAGAAGAAAGAAAGGAATAGGGGGATAAGGAAGGGAAATGCAGGAAAGAGGCAGGGAGCACATACACACACACACACACACACACACACACACACACACACACATTATTTGGAACATACTTGTCTATTACCTTAAAAGAAGGTGGCAAAACACCTTTAGCCAGTAACCACGCTGAGTCAATAGAAATATATGTTCCTGTCCAGAAATTGTCTTCCCCAGGGAAGTCCCTCCAGTCACCAAGCTCCAGAGGAAATCTGCATCTTCTTAAGCAGCACCCAAACCCATATGTGGTCAATCCCTGTGCATTCATGTGCAGCCTTGCGCTGCATGGCACGTGAGGGACCTGGCACTACTGCAGCTTGTTTCCCAAAGTTGCAAGGACAATCCTGCATTTCGGTATCATCTGAGTTCTGCAGCTTCCAGGCAAATAGAATTATTGCCTTTCATTCAGTCCGGCACTATCGCTCTTACAAGGAAATTGAACAACTTAATTTTAATGTAACATGTCACTACTACACATTTATGTCTTGCAAGAACATTTGAATATTTTACCATTTTGGCAAGACAATTTTTAAAATGGCTCCTGAAGTCTTTATATTGTTTTGAAATCAAGGAAGCATATGGGATTAATACAATCCAAAAACAGCCACTATGAAATTTGAAAATAGTTATGTGGAACAGAGAAGTCTACCACCTCCTTTTCGGAAGCACTGTATCCAAACACTCTCCTCCCAAGAATGTAATTGGAGCAGAGGTGTGAGTCTTGGGCGGAGGGGAGCTGCAAGCACAAGACCCTTTGCCCTGGCAGTCCCTCTGAGGCATGCTCACAAACGTTAAGAAGTCATGAAAGATCTGTGCAAAGTCAACTCTGCAATGGAAGGTATTCTAGGAGCTTCCCGATAAAGGAGAAGAGCAGAATCACAAATACTCCAGTGCTCACTTCTAATCTGTGAGGTTTCAACACTGGTTGGAATCTTTGAATTTAGCAAGAAAACAGGTTACAACTGATGAGTCATCTATGGGGAGAAAATCATTTCTTTCAAAGAAAAGCTTAATTTAATGCTATGTGAAAGAGAAGAAAACCCATTGCCTTTTGAATGTTTGTTAATTGTTGGACCTAAAGTTTGGTAATACCACTTTGCTTTGTTCTATAAGTCATTTCCAAGTTTGAGGGCTCCTGTGACAATTTCGGACATGCTCCATTCATTCAAATGTATTGGTTATATTGCAAGTCAGACTTCAAGCTCCATAAACATCCCAACTAGAAATTTTACTGATATCATGATGATTCTGCTGCAAATGTACTGTACAGTCGATATTTATTGATGGCTCAAGTGTCTCATTAGATAGGACACTGTAGCCACAGCTGGACACAGTAGAAAAATGCTGAGTATCTGGTAATGCCTGACTTGGCATTGAAAGGGAGACTAATGACAAGCACAAAGAGTGTATAGTAGGTACTGTGTGACCAAATATAGTTCTGGAAGGATGGAGTCTTCCAGTGTAGTGTTTAAAAGTTAACATGTAGGTGAGTCGTTCAGTATAAAAATTGACTTGAAAATGCAGGACAGGAAGAACTTTGAGTTTTAAATTAAATGCAGGGAAAAGGAGAAAATCAGCTTTCCAAATATCTACATCCAAGTCTTTGAAGAGTTTACATCTCGGCCACATCGAGGACCAATCAGGCGGATGGTATGACTGAGGTGTCCCAGCTTCCACAGAGTCTTACTGGTAATAAGTAGGAGAGGAAAGCCTATCATGGAGATGCCTCCTCCATGAAAAATTCAAGGCCAGCTGAGTGAGGCATGACTTAGCAAACTCACAAAGTGCTTATGCATTTTTAAAGGAGGTGTCTCTGTAATCTACCCACACTTCAGATTCTCCACCTGCTAATGGCCGTGAGTACAATGCACTTCATTACAGAAGCGGCTGGGAGAGCTGGTCCTCCACGGCTTCTCCACATCAATGGTGTCGGAGCCTCGCAGTCTGGGAGAGAGGTGGCCAGATTTAATTTATCAAGGCTGCTAAAAGACACTCTTGGTCTCACAGCTGAAAAGTCGATAATGAGCAAATTGATGTTTTCCTAATTCTGATAACCTTTGAAGATACATTGAATGGCGGAGATTAGGG